AGTTTTAATTTTGTGGGGTGATAGACAATAGGTGAATGGGAGGGAAAAAAAAAGATCCACTGGGGTTTCTGTCAATGAATTTTGAGAAATTTATGGACACCACATAATGATCACTGCAGTTGCTGAGTGTCCAACACAGAAATGTAGAATGCCTAGGCTACTAAAAGTTGTGATAGTGAAACCATACCCATACTGTCTTTCCAAAAGATAATTGTATTACTGTTCTCAAAGGCCTGTTGAACAATTAGTGCAATGTTATATGTAAACATATATGGATTTGCCTCCCTTTTAGGAGGACTCTAAAACCTCACCTCATATAGGTTTAACTTGTGCAAAACTAACGTCCTTTGCAGGACAAGGATCCCCTCCTCATCCTTGTTGAATTATCTCCCACAGTAGTTCTAGTCCCCTGCAAAAGACAACACTGCTCAGACTGCAGGGCCATCTTCTGCGGTGCTGGCCCTGTACTCCCTGACATTTGGATCCTGCACTGGTCTCTCTTAACACCAGCTGCATATAGGTGTCAAGGACTTCTTTAAACGCAGGACCCCATTTACCAAAAAATCCAACTTGCTCTGCAAGACTGCTTTTTCTCTTTTTTATTTACTCCTCCACCACTCTTAATGTTACCTGCATACTATCAATTTTGATTTTTCATTTACATCAAAGTACCAATACAGAACACCTTCAAGCTCTGAAAAACTGCTTCCTATAAGCTCTCCCCTGCTTTTCCTTTCCAGGAACAAGACTCTGTTCATCAGTCTCCCTCACTAACAGCAACTTTTTGAGATCTGTCAGTTAGCCAGTCCTTAATCCAAGGCAGACCCCACTGATACAGAAGAGGGCTATTTTTAAACAACAGTGTCCTGCCATACTATGTTAAACACCTGATGACATTTAAGTAGTGTTAGATCCAGCTCAACAAACTCATAATCCCATAGAAAAAGCAAGAATGGTCTTGTTTGACAGGAGCTTTCTTTGACATGGCTACTTGAATGTCAATGATTGCTTTTCTTTAATGCTTCACTGAGCTACTGGTTCTCAGAGCTGGACACGGGTAAGCAGTGACTGTCATTACTGTTGTTTTTACTGGCTATGAAATCAGTACATTTTAGTAGCTTCCCACTTGCACCTGCAGGCTGGACATCTCCTTAACCTGAAAACTTCCTCCAGCTCCCATGCTGGTTGTTGGTACAGTGGACAACTTTCTCCTCAGTGCTGTCCCTCAGCTACTGCCTTTATTTCACCTGATATATGGGTAACACTTATTCACTGCATCATATGTGCGTTTGTACCCCAGATGCACCGATACATACTTAACGCCCCCACTTCCCAGCTTTATGACTGCTAGCTAAGTGACGGAAAATATTTACATTTCGTAAACACTTGTCTATGTTTAGATCACTATCTGGTGGTGATCTCTGCAGTCATAGAGAAGGGGTCCATATAATAAATTGCAGAGCCACACAGTTTATTTATCCTGAATGTGATAAATTAACTCAGCTCACCTGTCCCCTGGCCAAGGGGCCTGCTTCCTCTGGGACTGTTCACATTCCAAACTTCTGAGCAACTCACAGCAGGCATATTTTTTAAAGCCACAAAAATGCTTCCTTTTTCACCCCAAATTTCACCCACCATCCCCCTTCAGGAAAAGAGCAGACGCAAGCACTGAACTGTGCTACAGGAACAAGCTCAGAGAGAAGATGGCTTCCAACCTCCTCTTTTAACCTCTTGATTGCCTTCTGCAAGGCTGCTCAGCTCCTCTGGTGGTAGAGCAGCAGATGGGTGCTATGGTGATTTAGGGTCACGCTCAAGCAGAGCTCAAACAGCTAAGAGTGGTGTGACATGACAGAAAGATTTACCAGTATCCGTGGCATACATGATAGCCAAGTGGGGAGATCTGATGAGCTCTTCTCAAGGAAGGATCAGAAAACCAATCACTCCAGGCCATCACAGGATCTCCCCAGGACACAGAGTTCATGTTTTCCTCCCAAGCAGAGAGAACTGGGTTACACTTTTAATAGTTGTCTCCGCTTCTTAAACCCAACCACCACCGTGCTCTGAGTCTTCCTGTAGTATATTTGTGAATTTTAGAAACTTCAGAAAAAATCACTGCTTAAGCACGTGTAATGGTATTAAAGATATATACATTTAAACCTTCATTTTTTTTAGAATCACACATTCTATTTTTTAAAGACTTATTCAGCTGTTTTTTGTCCTGGTAAACCACAGCATCCAAGTTATCCTCCTTGCATGCATCCCCAACGGTTCTCTGATACATGGGCAAAGTCCATTATTCACAGTTTACACATGGAAAATGAATGCAGAGATAGGCTAAGTAATTTGTGCTGCCAAAACAAGTGGCTAACTCATGCTCACCAACATTTAGATTAATGTCCTAACAGTTAGACCCCTTTCTTCCTCTTCATGTGACACTTGCCTCTGTGCCAGACAGGCATATATTAGAACCGTGATTAGTCAGAGTAACAAAGTACAAAATCAAACTCTTCAAAAGGCATCAGCCTTGTGCTGCAAATATTCATATTTCCATGTTTGGATTTTATCTTCCTTAAGTACTCTGTGATGCACACTTAAAATTTACTCTGCTTGTCTTCCTGGCAAGCTCATTTGCTGTCGTGATTATGGAAGCAAGCACAAACATAGAGGCAATGGTGTGTAGAAGCCCCAACGGTAAATGGCTTTCTTTGTATGTGCCTAGCATTCAACTAGGTTAATTAAAGAGTGCTGGTGTAAGCTTCTGCAGATCTGAGTGAGACACTGCAGCTTGTTAAAATAGAGGCAACACCAAGCTGAACCGAAATGCTACCTTTTTCTTCTTCTAAGAAAGGCCATGCAACTTTTCAGGGCTGACTATTTTAGCCAACTGGTATCAGAAGACAAATGCCTAACTTGTGTCATGTTGTCTATCCTGATAGGCAAAGCTTATACTAGAAATAAACTTCCCTATATTCTGACAAACATTTGCAGCAGCCCAAGAACAGGAGAAAAGTTACTTAACAAGCTCATATGGAAAACCTGTTGCTGTTCAGAGTGAGTAAACAAGTCAGTTCATGGACCCACATTCAAGCTTAAAATGAGACTGAATATTTTTGTGCTTAAGTAAAATTCTTTCAATCTATTTCATTGCCTACATTGCTATACTATGTTTTATTTGTGGTTAAAAATAGAAACCAAAAAGGAAATATATATAGAAAATGAAGATCCAGATTCTGAAGGCCTCCTCTTTTATCAGCATAAATGTACGGTAAAAAGCTGCAATACACCAGGTGATGATTTTATATCCATAATGGCCACATTGATGTGAAATGCAAAGCATCAAGAAGCAGAGCACCTGATTTACTTCGGTGAAAGGTTTAAGCACATCATGTGGAGTGGAAATGAGTGCCGCTTGGTTTTCTGTTATATAGTGGTCAAAAGAAGCTGCAATAACGTAAACCATTTTTTAGAATGTGGAGATGGAAGTTTTTCGGAGCTATGCACAGCAGCAATGCATATAGCAGCTCTGCAGTATGGTTCTGCTGTACAGGAGTTTCAAACCAGAGGCAGTGGCTAGGGCTGCCTCCAGGGGAACATTCCCCATGTTTCCATTTGGAGATTTGGCAATGCCTATGATGACAGAAAACTGTGAACCAGCTTAAAAATATGCATCTACTTTCTGCTGCCTGAAAATTAAACCGTTATGGTATTGCACACACACACACCCCCCCCCCCAATCAAATGATCCCATTTGTTCTTTTTCAGGAAATATTTTAGAGAGAAAAAAAAAACAAAAACAAAAACAATCTATTCGTTTTACATCTGGTTATTTTAAATCTCCGTGGAAATATTAGTGGAATAGTGGACTTAAAGAAAACAGCTTGGAACAGCAGCAGCAGCAGCAGCAGCCATTCCTCTTACTACAAAGGAAATCTGTAATCTCCGCTGGCTACAGTAAAACATAGCATCTGTTGATCACTGGGGGAACCGGGGAAGGGAATGGAAAACCCATGCAGGCTTTGCTGTCTTCTGTCAGACCCTTCAGAGCTCCAGGTGTGCGGTCCCCAGCACAGTCTGTGCCATCTGACTGGGACCAGCACAGCTGCATCGACACCTCAGCCGTGGGGAAGAAGAGCTGGGTGTCCCTCGAACAAGGGCGGGCTGTCAGGGGCTGTCAGTGCCCACGGAAACACAGGCGTTTTGACACAGCGCCTGTGCCATGGTACAAGATGAGCTGGCAGATTTCTGTGTGCCGGTATGATGGTGGTTTTTAAACACCCAGGCCCAACCCTCGTGAGGTGTCAATGCCCATGTTCTTCTGAGGTCTGCACCAGCTGAAGCCCATGGCTCACTCCAATTATGGTTTAAATGTGAAAACAAAAATTTTAACTAAAATGGGGCAAAATCCTGCCTAAACTTTACCCCTGGCAGGATGCAACTCGGCAGGGACTTTGTCTGAAAGCATGCGTTCAGCTATGGAGCTGAGGTGACAATTTAACTAGTAGATCAAATAATTACATGATTTTGATAATGCAGTGTTTGTACTGGATTGTCTTAAAAATCAGTAATATCACAATTATTTGCTGCAGTAAAAGCCACCCTGCAGAAGATCATTTTGTTTAACTTCTTAATCTGCTAAACTAAAGCTCCTACTGTGAGAAAATATCTTTTCAGCAGAGTACTGATTTTCTCCCACAATCTCCCCTCCTCCCCACTTATTCCTTCTTTTCTTCTCCATCATCAATCTTTTAAGCGTGCCACTGTGCATTCACATTTTTCTTTCTGCACGTGTCAGCTCAACGCTCTTCCTCAGAGCCCTCTTTCTCCGCCAAATCCTGCAAAGCAGACTTTAACCACTGGTTTCCCGAACGGGGAACTCCACGCACAACTTCGCGAAAGCCAAGCTCTCCGGGTGCTTCCCAGCCACCGTGCCGGAATCCCCCCACTCCCTCCGCAACCCGCGGCTATGGACAAAAGAGCAAGTAAAATGAAACTGACTTACTGCTATAGCTTGGAGCCTTTCCTTGTGCAACTCTGCTTCCGCCATCCTGGAGAGAAGGACACGGGAGGAGAGAGGGAAACGGGTGGGGGAGGAAAAAAAAAAAAAAAAAAAAAAAAAAAAAAGAGTCAAGGCAAACAAAACCGGAGCACACACTGCAGTCACCCGGGGGGAACCGGAGTAATTGCAAAGAAAGCCGAGCTCCTGTGTAGTAGTCAGCCACTTTTGGAGGCACTGCAGGCTGGCTCACGGTAGGATCATTTTAGTCACTGGACCAGTGCCTGCCTCGCTGCCTGTCTCCCAGCTGTATTGCTAACTGCATTTCATTGCCGCTTCTGTGTGCTGTTGCTGTCACACAAGCCATGTATGCACTCTGCGAGCAGCCGAGTGCAGGGATAGCTCGCATGGCTATAATTTTTTGCGTTGACGTCTCAGCTCATTTGCTCCTCCTATGGGGCGCTGGGTCACGACAGGAGCTCGACATCAGTAGCGTGCACAGTAATCCAAACCTGCACGGCTGCAGCAGAGGGGGCAGGCGGCGGTGCCGCGGCGCGTCCTCCGCGATCAGCGCGGCGGGGAGGGAGGGAGGGGGGCACGTGGCGGGGGTTGGGGAAGGGCCGGGCGGTGGGGGAGAGGCACAGCCACGCGTGAGCGCGACGGCGCGCTGCGCAGGGCGGCTGCCGCGGGGCGTTAAGAGCAGCCGCGGAGGGGATGGGTGTGGGGGGGGTGTGTGGGTGGGGGGAAGGGAAGGTGCCCGGGCACCCTGCACGTGCACCGCACGTTAAAGCGCTGCGGTGACATCAGGCGCTCGAGCGGTGTACGAACGGTCTGACTGAAGCCCCCGCGTGTCTGTATAAATTGGGAAGGAGCCGGGTGGGGAAGGGAGGGGAGGCTTGAGCCAGCAGCGTTTGGATACCCTTGATTTCAAATGTGGCTTCAGTTTTGCATGCATCCTCCTCTTTTTTTTTTTTTTTTTTTTTTTTTTTTTTTGAGGCGGGGAGGGTGTATGATTTCCCATACGCTTTGTTTACTCATAAAGGGCAAAGCCCCTTACTCTCTCCCTGCTTGGTCCCATGGGATACTACTGCAAAGGAAAGCAGGGGGCTGCCCCAGCGGAGGGACACCCCCAAGCCAGGACAGCCACCGAGCCAGCTGAAGGGCTGGGGGGGCACTGAGCCTGTCATCCAGCTGCTGTCCTGCAGCAAGGAGCAGAAATGCATTCTGCAGCATATAATTCTGGGTTAATAACCCCATGCTGATAAGACGGGGAAACTCCAAGAGGTATGGAGATCACCCTGCTTCCCCTGTGCCTGCCCTTTTGTGTGACACCTAGCCTGGCATTTTACCTCTCAGCTGGCACGCCTGTCTCCTCTCCCAGACATCCTCCACCTCCATCCCATTTCCAGCTCCAGGATGTGCTGCTTGCTGCAGGCTGCTTTTCAAAGCAGTTGCTTTCACAAGTGTTTGACCTCCTGGTCCCATTTCCCTTACTGGTGCCCAGCCTCCTTGTCTCGTGATAGCATGTCAAAGTGACTTCTTGCTTAGCTTTGCCTCTGTGAAAGAGGTCCTTTGTTGTATAGAAAACTCACAGAACATTATATAATTCCGGCAGTCTCTGTGGCCAAAAGGCAAAGTTTTATTGCTGTATCCCAAGTGAGGTAGTATCTGTAAGTGAGTGTTGGGGTGGGCTCACAGCTAGGGGAAATGCAACAATTCCAGCTTAAACTGGGATACTCTTTCCGTCTTCCAGCTTTAAGTAATTTTTTGTATGGCATCTGTCCTGTAGCTTATTTGGTCCCTTTCAGCTTGTTGTTTTTCTTCAAAACCTCTCTTTTTTGTTTTCAGTCACCACATAAAGGTCCATGTATTGCTGCTTATATTGCTACAGCTGGTTTTGAAATACCCCATCACACAGGACCCAGACATCTATACTCCCACATGTGCACTGAGAACATACATGGGCAACTCCTACTAAGACTTGCAAGCTATGCAATTAAATCCCTTCAATACCCGTCTCATGTTTTGCTGTTAAGCCTTGCCCAGGGGAGGAATTCTGCTACAGGCTATATACAGCAAAGGCAAGGGTAAGCCTCAGTGCTAACTGGAGCTGGGAGAGCCAACCTTTTCACTCCACAACCTGCAGTCACATTAGATGCTGCCAAAGTGGTGTGTTAAATGCACCACATTAGGCCATCCCTTCTTTCCTTCCACATGGCATCCACTCAACAAAATATTTAAAAATATATTCAAGTGCATTCAAGGTAGTTGTATATAAAAGTGCATATGCACATCTCACTTCTGATACAAAACCTCACGACAGTTCACGAAGGACCATAACTGCAGCTGAGCTGGACACTGTATTCAGCCCATGTTTATTCTCTCTTCCATTTAACTGCAGTGCTGGTTGCAGGTGAGGGGTAAGCAGGGTGCATCCTAGTTAGTGCTGGGGTGTTCCTGGCCACAGTGAAACATGCTGTATGTCTGTGCACTCCTCTTCAGTTTAGTTTGCCAGGGAAGCGCGGATCAGCTCTGCTGTAGCAGCCCACCCTGTCAGCTCTTTATGACTGTATGACTTCATAATTGTATGATTTTATGATTGCATGACAGAAGATGCATCAGCAGCAGTGCAGTTTCATGCTGGTGGCTTGCAATACAGAGGAAAGGGTGGAAGTCGTGCAATAGTAATAGCCACTAGTTTTCCTATAGTCTCTTCTGTACAGCTTGAAGCCTGGGATGCAGTGAGGTGGGAATCCTGCACCCAGGTGGTTCACAAAGCACACCCAGGTGAAATGACCTCTATAAAGTGACTTACTGGGTCATGACATAGTCTGCAAGGGACAGTCCCAATGGACATTTGGTTAGTGAAGGCAGCTTTAAACAAAACAAAACAACCACCCAGTCCACTTTTACGTGTTTTTTTTTGTCCATGTTGGCTAAGATTTTTGTTTCCAGAATGTTTCGCTTTGTTGGTTTTAATAAAAAATAAAAAATTGTATTAAGTCTCACAGTTGTTTTTGTTTTGTTTTGTTTTGTTTTTTTACTTTTAGGGCAGAGGGGCAGGGTAATATTTCCAAATTATGATGTTACTAGGAAAACAAGAGAGGATGGAGGGTGTAGGGAGAAGCAAGAAGGTTCTAGAAGTGTAGACAAGCAAAATCAAAGAAGTATTTTAATATACCTCCTTCGATAGCTAAAAATGAAGAAGAAAGGAAAAATGTCCCTATTATTTCTCAAATGTCAGTTAAAAGGCTGTTCTTTTCACCGTGATTTTTAAAAGAGCAAAAACTGCTACATCTTCATAATGTGTGAATTGCATCCGATTTCCATGCAAAACAGATTTTTATTTTAATTTATTTGGAAAAGAGTGTAGGAAACAATCTGTAGTCCCTGCTCGATGCTGGAGAAGATCCTGAAAGCACTCTGAGCTATGTGTAGCCTGAACTTTTAATGAGGCAGCTTAGTTACATGGTGGAAATCAGGTTCTTGTCCTTGCCATGGAGCTAATTTGGATTAGAAAATGTGGTTTAAACCACTTGAGTTTCTTTTTTTTTCACAAGGCATTTCCTTTTTTTGACAAACCAGGTGATTTTTGCCATTGCCTTGCATACAAACAGAACCCTTTTGCATGATGCCAGGCAACTTCTCCTAGGGGCAAAACCTTTGGCTTCACATCCTTCTGGCTGTTGATAGGACTGAATCAGTCTAAGAAACCAGACTTTGGCCTGAAGACTGTGTAAGGAAGGCACACTCATACACATGAAGGTCAGGATTAACACCTCAGCCATTGCAAATGCATTGACATATTTTTGTGGTGACAAGTTAGTGGTTGGATCCTGGCAGCGGTTGTCAAGAAAACACAGAGCAAAGAGGGAAAACAGGCTTCACATTTGCATTTCAGATTGTTTAAGAGGAGATACTTCTGGCTCTTAAAATTACCACATGCCAGCATGTTGCATTGTGCTGCATTAACACTGTTCTGGCATCCTCAATATTGTCGAGCATTCCTCCCTAGGGCATATTTGAACCATATTATTTTCATCCAAGTTGAAATTCTGAGGTTTGATTAATCTGGTTTTTATCTTTCTTACCAGACTCTGGCCTCAGATGCTGTATTAAAATAGGCCAGGAATGAAAAGTTTGTCTAAACTTTCAGATTCCTGAGCCCATCGTCCATGCTTACTTTTTGGACTCCCTCAAACACAGCGTCTCACACAACACAGCCTTTGAAATTTCTGGCATTGGCACCATCCAACATTTCCAGGAGAGGCTACTCCATCTGCGGTTTTAATTGGGACTTTCAGCCTCGTCAGACAACAGTCTTGCTGTCCTTCCCTCTCCCGTACCCAGGCTGCTTGCTGAAGGAGCACAGTGGCTGCAGCACCAGGGGTTGTGCTCGGGATACTTGGAAGCTCAGTGCTCTGAGCTGCACCCCAGGGATGCCCATCCCAGTGACACATCACCCCGGGACAGTTGTCCTCATCTCACATGACATGTTAACCCAGCAAGCAGTGGCTGCATGGTGGCAGCTATGTGTCCAAGCCTTGCACACCCACTCTCGTGGCTGTTCATGGGGGTGCACGGTCTGTTGCCACTCATGACTTGCAGTGGTGAAAGTGAAAAGTGGCTGAACATCAGAATATGTGCCCTGATCCCTCTGCTGCGGAGTGGCAGATGGTAGCCCCTTGCATGGGTTTTTATGGGCACAGCCCCGAGGCAGTGTGGGCTGGTGGGAAAACCGGCCTAAGTGACAGGACAAGCAAAGGCTGGGAAATCTCCTCTCCACCTCCCACAGCATTTCACACCTGGAAAATGCAGATGGGAAAACCATAAGCGATATGTCTGAAGCTCAACTGGAGGGCAGTGGCAAAGCTCAACCCGTGGCTGAGTCCAGTTATGAAAGTGCACGAGATCATTCTTTCTTGATTGAAAAAAATCTTTTTATCAGACTTGGTTTAACTGAAATTGTTTTCTCCCCTCCTTTTGTTTCAGTTTTACCACTTGCTATCAAGACATGGAGTTGAAGCACACACAGCAGGAGATGGCATTGTTTAAGAAATAAAAAGCTAGACCACACGGCTTTGTTTTAAACCTTCCCAAGACAGCAGGCTTATGAATAGGTAAGCCATAATTTATTAATAAGTACAGTCAATTAGGTTTTTCCATGTTTGCTTGGTTTCATTCTGCGCTTAGAAGTCCTCTGACTAGAGAGGTCTCCACGCGGTCGTGCCAGTGTCAGGACACGTCCTCTCAATGGACCACCAGATGCTGTGAGTGGAAGGGGCCCTCAAGAGCCTCCGCACATTATTTGGTCTCCTGGCCAAGTAATGTCTGCTGTCCACAAACAGTTGCTTCTAAGCAATTCTGCTGGTATCAGGGACCAGAAGCAATGGCTTTACTGAGACCTCTTGTCCTGCCAGCCCCCCCGGCCATGCTTAGACAGCCTGATGTTAGCCTGAAATTTATTCAGCACCTTCAGTCTTTGTCAGTAATTAATGAAGCAAGCCACAGATCACTCCCTGTCAAAGCCTCCAGGTCAGTAAACCAGGAGATCCTGTTTGCAATGACTTTCCTTGAAGTAGCGAAGAATAAGAAGAAATTATGTACGCATTTCACCTTTCTTCATTCTTTCCTTCCCTGGTAGCTGGGGTTATTTGAAGCTTCACAGGTGGAGAAAGCATCTTGTCTCCTCTTGGGATTTCAGTGCCAGCTGCTAGCACTGCAGCTTGCTTACCCAGCTAGCTCCTTGCTGCAGGAGCCTACCTTGGCTCCTGGGGAGCAGAGAGGGATTAGACAACCTGCAGAGGACAAATGTAAGGCAACATTTCCCAGTTTATTTTATTCTCTCTGAAATTACATAAAAAGAAAATTCTGGTTAGTCCTTGTCTTCCACTTTCTATTCCCAGGGCCTCCCTTGACACTTTACATCCAGCTGGCGCAGAGAAGGGTGACAAGAGCAAGTAATATTCCCAGCACGACAGTGCAGGGCAGAGATGTATCTGTGAGTAGGACAACTCTTCACTAAAAAGGGAATTTTTGTTGAATTTCTATTCTATCAGCATAATGATGCCACTGAAATAGGTCACCACCCCTTAGCTGCACAAACCTCTGTAGCTGTTAATGAGCTGAGATTCACGTGTACACCAGGACTTGTGTTAGCCACCCCATTAGAAACATTCTGTGCCATTGAATTCCATGGGTCCTGACAACTTTAATGCTGATAGGGAAGAGACTCTTGCCTCTCTTGCCCCTTAAAGCTGTCTTGGCTATTCAAATCTGCCAAGAGAAAGATGAAAATGTATAAACTTTTTTACTTTGGATTTAAAAACTGGAGCTTGGTTCGTGTAGATTCTGGCACATCCCTCTCCATTCTGTTCAAACAACCCAGATTGCAGCAGGAAAACTGCTTTTAGCAGCATTTATTTCTGTTCTTGTGCCTTCTGATCATCCTCCACATATAGTACATAGCTGAAATGATATTCCCTTAGAAAACACAAAATATTTACTGCCGAGGTTTGTGTTAGTACACTGGATTTTGCTTCAGAAATTAGATAGTAAAGAAAAGAAAAAAGTTACCTGCAGCCCAACTGGCAAAAACTGTAGAAGAGGTGAAAATAAACTACTGCCCCAGAAGGTAACTGGGACCAGAATCTGAATATTTGGGTGTTATTACTGCTCTGATCACTGTGTGACCTTTGCTTTTGTTCCCCCATATATGACAATAAGACAACTTAATATCTCCTTTTTAAACACTCTTTTGGCTTCAGACCCTCTAGTCCATTCTTAGTTTGGTCTGCTATCCTAACAGGCTCTTCACAGAAGGACTAGGGGATTGGCATTGGATTTGCAATGCCAAAAAGTAATAAGTAGTCCAGTCTACAAAGGGTAGCATTTGTTAATGACAAGCTTTCAGCTAAGGTTAAATAACCAGGAAATTTAAGACAGCATGCCTTCATCCTCCATGAAGGGGCTGCCCAGAGAGGTGTCTTCAGTTTGTCTGCATCAAGGCCATAATTTAATGATGGGTGTTTCAGATCAGTCCACCTCAACTCCAGCACATTATAGCAATGAAAGAGCTGGAATTTTGATTGTATCTCTTTGATGAAGAGGAGTTAAATCCATCCATTCAAGTAAGGAGTCTGACAGTACTTTGAAAGAGGAGAGAGTCAGATCAGAGTCAGGTCTACTTATCACAGCCCATCTTTCTGAAATTCTCCAGAGACCTATCATGTAGCCTTTGAGTCTGCTAGACAGTGGTGCCAGCCCTAAAAAAAGGACCCCCTAATGACAGATTTTTAGGCAGTATCCCATCTTTGGTCCTCTGACCTGAAAAAACTAGAAACCTTTCATACAGTAATCATCTCCTAGCCTTTTGGCCTCTGCTTCAGATTGTGGCAAAGTCACTTAGAAGGAGCAGAGACAAAAAATAACTGGTTACTTTCTGGATCCATGCTGAAAGTTTAATATGAATTTTGGATCAGTCTACACAATACCCAAATTGGTACATCTAACTTTTGTTGTTAGCTAGGGAATTCATTAAGCTTTTCACAGCCTGAGGCAGCCGCAAAGTGCCAAGAGCTTGCCTTAAACCAGCGTAACACGCGGTATGTATTATGCAAAGCCACTGTGTTTCATATGTGCAAGTGATTTCTTCCAAGGATCGTTAAGGCAGTTGTTTCTTCTCCGTGGTTCCACTTCCAGGGCTCGACTCAAAGGCACACAAGTACATTGTGATGTCCCTTTCATGGGGAAGGTATCCCCACTGGTTCCTTGCTCAGGGCCATTGCAGGTATGCGGTACACCCTCTAATGCTTTTTAAAGACAGCAGCAGTAGATGCTGAGAAAAATAATAATCAGGCTTCCTGAGGAAAATGCAAGTTCTACTGACTTCCTATTCACGTCACTCTAATGGTATTATTTTATACTTTAATGTTATAAAGTACAAATTGGTGAACTGTTTTACATTATATTGCATACCACATACAAGCCTCACTCAAGATAAGATTACCATTAAACTGGTACCTCTGGCGTGCAGCTAATTAGGAAATCATCTTTATGTCTCGCGCCTCTAATGTACAAATGCCTTGTCTGGTAAGTAGCATTCAGAAGAGACAGTATTCATTAAACCTAGTAGTCAGCCGTTCCTAGGATGAAATTGAATGCTGATTGACAAAGCATTCTAAATGATTGACATTGTCTTCTACTAATTTTAGTGGAAAATGATTCTTAATCCTCTAGACTGCTTTGAAAATCCCTGTCAACATGTCTACATTTCAAGCTTCTGCATATATTCCAGTTTTGGAACCTGGAAGAGAGTACAATACATAATTGTTTCAACACTAAGCAGTCACCCAGCCCTTTAAATGAAGATATTTGGGAATAGACTGAATGCTTTAACCCTGAAAACTTCTAGTTATGTCTTAATTTAGTACTTAAGCAGGCTTTTAATCTTTCTCCAACTTGCTCTTGTTGATGTCTCTTGTACTGGAGTATGATGTGGAGCAAGGTTGCAGGTGTCCTCAACCTCATGGTAAATCCAGACCTCATCAGAGAGATGATCTGAAGAGATGTTCACCTGCAGCTAGGATAGTTACTGCTAGGTGTGCCAGGAATGAAAAGAAGGAGGCTCCCTGTGAGGCTGGGACTGTCTTAAAACAGACAGGTAGCATGACAGAGCCTACTATATGCCTTAGGCAGTAGTTCATCATAAATTATAATAGTAGCCATGTAGCAGGGCCCCCTGCATAAATGGAGAATGAGACATGTCAGATTGTTAATTTAGCAAAATAAGACCTTTTTTTTTTCTTGAATAATTCTTGTGCAGAACAAGAGCCGTACAAATTTCTCCTAGGAGGTTTGAATCAATTTAGTGAAGGTGAAGAAAATCCATCAGTTGAGGCCTCCTTCTGCCACTGCCCATTCTTCACAGCATAACTATCTGAGACTCTTTCATAAGGATAGTAGAGGAGCATTGCTTTGCTTATAAAATTAAAAAGAAAGAGATACAGCTAATGAAAAAAACCACATCTCTTCTTCATGATGTTACCCAATGTGATCATCTACTCCTTTCTCATAGAAGAGAAAAATGATCTCTCTTTTTGTATGTTTTCCCTTGATTTCTTTAGATGACTGATTTATTTCAATCTTCTAGCATTATGGGCAATACAATATTTGCAGTTTGGGCACTCACCAAAGGCATGGAGATTGGTGTACTATCTGTCTGCATCCGATCTATTTAGGCAACTTAATTTTCTCCACATGTTAGACAGTTCCTATCATGGACAAATATACTTTTAAAGGACTGATAAAATACTTCCAGTTGAGATTTGGCAGAAGACAAAGTGTTTGCTGATTCTAGTGCCGAGGAAATCACAGTGTGGTTTTATAGCTGTTTCAGGATACTTCTAGCCTGCGTAAACCTACGTACATATGTCTACAGCAGATGCTAATATTCTATCTGGTGTGTGATGGCAATGAGGTGACAGGAGCCCTGGACGTGTCTGTTTTAAACAAGTTCTTCAACAAATCTTCTAGTTAACAAATTACTAGTTGCTAAGTCCCAATTCAGCTATACTTAATGTACATAACTCCATGTTGAAGTGAGAGTCCCATTTAAGGATGATGGCACTTTTCAGAAAGCTGGGACCATATTAAAAAAATGGGACTTTTAAATTTTTATTTTGAGTTCTCACATTTCAGATCTATCTAGGAATTTCAGTATGTTTTTTCTCCTGATTACGCACGTGAAGAGATGAAGTGTAACAATATTTGCTGCTTATTTCATATGGGTCATGTAAGTGACGATGTCAAGCCCGAAGTATTCTACTTGAATAACAAACTTGTATGTTTCCAAATCGGTAACACTACTTACAAAGCAAACTCTATCATAAACAGTATTAGATGATTTTATTTCATAGAGTAGATCAATAAGCAGACCTTCTACAAATGCAGCCCTGAAAACTTGCAAATTACTTCTTCAGTGAGGGTGTTTCTTTGTCTGCTGTCTTCTTGTTCTTTTAATGTGAACTGCTTAGTACTGGAACTGCTTGCTGTGTGGCTGCTGAAGGATGATAATTAGTTAAGTTACACCTGGCATTGCAATAGCTGCACCTTCAAAAAA